CGCCTCAGCCTTCCAAGTAGCTGGAACTACAGGCGCGCGCTACCATGCCCGGCTAATTTTTTATTTATTGTGGAGAAGAGGTCTCGCCAAGTTGCCCAGGCGGGTCTTGAACCCGTGGGCTCAGGCAATCCACTCACCTCAGCCTCCCAAAGTGCTGGGATTACAGGCTGAGCCACCGAGCCCAGCCTTAAATTTTCTATAATAATCCTGTATTACTTCTGTAATTTTTAAAAATGTTTTTGAGTGATACATTGAAAAAAAAATACAGCTTAAGTGTTACAAAGCCTCCCATAAATTAAAGACTGAGCTTTATACTCTTCTTCAGGACCTTACCTTTTATTGTAGTCAGAATGAAGAAAGCAATGAGGGTGTTGTTGATGGCGCAGGTAGACTTGGCAACACAAGACAAAATCGTGTAGGGATTTAAGAGATAGCTGAGGAAAAACACACATATTTAGCATTAGTAATCCTGATCAACAGATGTCCTGATCACCATAGCCAGGAAGTTCAAGAGATTTACTAAAAACACACTTAAGGGAAAGTAACTTCTTAGAAATGAGCCCTCCCAAGTAAAAGAGAATGGAGTTGGAGTTGGAGCCAATGAGTGAAAGGTACTAAATATTAACTGCCTATTCTGTGCTATGTGTTATATGGAAAACCGTTTTATTTAATCATCATGAAGATTCTATAAACCAGCAATAACATTATTCCAGTTTTGCAGATGAGGAAAATGAGACTCAGTCATTAAGTAACTTGTCTAAAATTTCACAATTTAATAAATACATTCAAAATCAGGTCTTTCTGGCTCTAAAGCCAATGTTCTTTCTACTACTTTTGACTCAAAATTGATAAAATTCTACCAGTCCCCACAGAGTCAGATATCTTAGGAATGGCTGCACTCATCTGAAAACCAGGAAAGTATATTTTCCTCAGTAAGGTTCCTAAGCTCTAACATCAGCCACACCAATCCAAAATGCCAGAGCAGCTTAGATTCAGCCCTCTTGGTAGTGAAGCAGTACCCATTGAGACAGACCCCAAGGACAGAATAAATGCACACTGAATTCAACAAACTGGTTGCCATAGAACCTCAAAGAATGGCTGAGGCCAAGGCAAGTGGATTGCTTGAGCCTGTGGGTTTGAGACCAGCCCCAGCAACTTGGAGAGACCTTGTCTCCACAATAAATCAAAAAATTAGCTGGGTGTGGTAGCGCCCGCCTGTAGTTCCGACTACTTGGAAGGCTGAGGCGGAAGGATTGCTGGAGCCCAGCAGGCCGAGGCTGCGGTGGCCGGGAGCGGCCACTGCACTCCAGTCTGGGCGACAGTGAGACTCCAACTCAAAAAAAAAAAAAAGAACTTCAAAGGATATCTTAACCATTCATTGAGATGGAGTTAAGCTAAATCTTCTAGTCTTTTCTTGAGGCAGGAAGGAATGAACAGAGAAAATAAATTTGAAATGCCTGAGTGTAGGGAAATTTTAGATGGTAATAATGGATTGCTATTGTTATTTATTTATGTTTGTTTGTTTACTTATTATTTATTATTTTTAGAGACAAGGTCTTGCTATGGTCGCCCAGGCTGAAATGCAGTGGAGTGTAGTGGTGTGATCACAGCTCACTGTAATCTTGAACTCCTAGGCTCAAGTGACCCTCTTGCCTCAGCCTCCCAAGTAAATGGAACAATCGATGTGCACCACCACACCCAGGTAAGGCTCATTTTTTTTCTTTAATTTTTGCAGAGATAGGGTCTGGCTATATTGCCAGTCTGGTCTCGAACTCCTGACCTCAAGTGATCCTCCTGCCTCGGCCTCCAAAAATGTAAGGATTACAGGCATGAGCCAAGCTCAGACTATTTTTATTTATTTCTATCCTGCTTTCACAAAAAGTTTGAGGCAGGCAAAATGAAAACAGATAATAAAAAACAATAGCAAAGTAAGAATAGAAATAAAGAATCAAAACCAGGGAAAACATAAATAAAAGAAGAAAGTAAAGGCAAGAGAAAGAAGATCAAATGGGTCTTCTATAGCACTGTAATCATCAGTTTCAAATCTGTCTCTGAGTTTCCCAGCAGACAAAGTAAAAAGGTAGACCAGTTACATAATTTGATTATCAAATAGGAAGAAACATATCAGTGTCTCAGGAAGAGATCATAATTATTATTCACAAATAAAGACCTTAAATACATACCTCCCAGGACTGTAAGACTAGCAGTTCTTTTTTTTTTGGAGTTGGAGTCTCACTCTGTCGCCCAGACTGGAGTGCAGTGGCCGCTCCTGGACACCACAGCCTCGACCTGCTGGGCTCCGGCAATCCTTTCGACTCAGCCTTCCAAGTAGCCGGAATTACAGGCGCGCGCTACCATGCCCGGCTGATTTTTGATTTATTGTAGAGATGAGGTCTCGCCAAGTTGCCCAGGCAGGTCTCGAACCCGCGGGCTCAGGCAATTCATTCACCTCAGCCTACCAAAGGCGCGGGATTACAGGCTGAGCCACCGAGCCTGGCTAAGATTAGCAGTTCTAAAGCCAAAGATCTAGAAATTGTTGGAGTGGGGTTTTTTTTCAGCAATTACAGACAGGCTTGTTACACAATCTTTAAAGAAACAGCTGCTGCTATTATGAAAATACCCCCAGGACACAAATGAACCTATAAGGGATTCATAACATTGCTGAACCTCTGGTTCCATTAAGTTAGTCCCCACCAATATTTCTGAAATACATAGATGTAAGCTGATACCCCAAGTTTGTTTGGTGGGAAGAAAAAAAGGCCATTTCTAAATAACAGATGATGTTCAAGAAGTACTTGCACAAACACCTATCTGGAATACTGAATAGGAAATTCACATAAAAGGCAGCAAATGGAATAAACTAGTCTCATAAGACTCCTCCTAGCAGGGCTCGGTGGCTCAGCCTGTAATCCCAACACTTTGGGAGGCTGAGGTGAGTGGACTGCCTGAGCCCGCGCATCTGAGACCTGCCTGGGCAACCTGGCGAGACCTCATCTCTACAATAAATCAGAAAAATTAGCCGGGCATGATACTGCACACCTGTAGTTCCGGCTACTTGGAAGGCTGAGGTGGAAGGATCGCCAGAGCCTAGCAGGTCGAGGCTGCAATGGCAGGGAGCGGGGCCACTGCACTCCAGTCTGGGTGACACAGCAAGACTCCAACTCAAAAAAAAAAAAAAAAAAAGACTCCGCCTAATTCTGAAGTTCTAAGGGCATATTTTTCCATGAGGAAACATGTCTGTCTTTGTTTAATGTGCATCCCTAGAAATGAGGATATTATTTATTACTACTACTACTTCTATTATTATTATCATCATCATTATTATTATTACAGCAGCAGAAGTGAGACTTTAATGACAGTTTTGCAAGATCGGGTGTCTGGTGGGCAGGCCGGATATTGTTATTATATTTTTTTGAGTTGGAGTCTCACTCTGTCGCCCAGACTGGAGTGCAGTGGCCGCTCCCGGCCACCGCAGCCTCGACCTGCTGGGCTCTGGCAATCCTTCTGCCTCAGCCTTCCAAATAGCTGGAACTACAGGCACGCGTTACCACACCCAGCTAAT